GCCGAGGGCATGGGGGGCTCACCATGGGGAGCCGACTGACTCCTGCACCCAGTTGGTGGCACCTCTCAGGTCCCTAGACCTGGCCCTGCAGGGCAGATGCTGCGCCCTGGATGGAGACACCTGAAGCTGCGCCCAGTGCCCTGCTGCCCTTGTCCCTCACACCGTGCTGCCTGTGGGCTCCTTCTCCAGCATCTCCTGGCCCAGGGCCTCGACCACGGCAGTGATGGGCAGAGGGTGGGCGGACGGGGAAGGGACTGAGGCAGAGGGAAGGGGCCAGTCATTTCCTCGTCCTCCTTTGTCATGCCCTTGAACTTGTACATCACTGAAGACCACAGACAACCGGAGGGCTCTTTATCCTGTCAGTCAGCCTCCTGTGGAGGTGTGGGCAGCAGACAAGCCTCGGCACACGTAGGCTGGAGGCCAGCCTTGCCTCGGTAAAGCCTCGGGCCAGGCGCCGCTGTCGTGGGGTTGGGTGCGCCTCCCCCAGAGTGGCCTCAGGGCTGCTACCTCCTCGCTGGACTCTCAGGTCCCAGGGGCAGCAGGTCACCTAGAGCAAGACATGGCTGAGGGTGAGTGGGAGGCAGCTGGAGGAAACTGGTGGCTCTTCCAGGGCCGTCTGCAGAGCCAGAGGGCTCTGGACGGAGGGACGGACCTCCACCCCTCAGGGAAGCCAGACAGTCCTCTACATGCAGAGCAGGTCAGCAGGGTCTTGCGTGAGCAGAGTCTCGGGGCCCTGGCCGTCACCGGTGGCCAAAGGGAGCTGGACCAGGGACTGAGGTTGGGGTCCTGGCAGAGAAGGGACATGCCTGGGAGGTGACCCACAGGGGCCCTCTGGCTGGCTGGTTCTTGAGAAAGTAGATGGAAGGGACCAACCATGGGGAGCAGGACTGGTGAGGGGTCGATAGGGAGACAGGCACCTGGCGATGGACTCGGAGGTAGGGGAGGGGGGCTAGGTCTGCTGGTGTCTGGGAAGGCAGGGGACACTGGGGCAGCCGGGCCCCATCTTTGGCATAGTGGGGCAGGGGAAGGATGTTCTCAGGATCGCGGGATCCAGGAAGACGGAGGAAGCCCATGTGTCTGAGGGCCATGTGAGCTCACCAGGGCTGCAGCAGCACCGCAGACCAGGGCTTATGTCCAGGATTCCTTGTCTCAGGGCTCTGGAGCCGGGAGCCCTAGGTGGCAGCGTGGCAGAGCTGGTCTCCTCTCCCTGGCTTGTGCCTTCAGTCTCCATCCTCCATGAGTACTCCGGTCACACTGGATCCGGGCCCAGCCCATAATGTCACCCTGATCACCTCTGCAACAGCCCCATCTCCAGATAGTCAGGTTCTGGGTCCTTGGGTCACCTTGGGTGGGCTTGACTCACTCAGGTGCACTCAGAGCCCCCCCAGCATCCTTGGAAGGTGCCACGTGGGTAGGGTAGGCTGGGTATCCACCTCCAGCTGCTGAGCGCTGGCCTCGGAGGTCACACTAGGCCCCAGAGGTCATGCCAGTGCCTGGAGGTCTTTCCAGGCCTAGGTCCCGCCCAGCGTGACTTCCCTCCTGGCGGGGAGAAGCCACTGGTAGTTCCTGCCCCAGCTCTGGGGATGTGCGGGGTGTCCACGGGAACCCAGGGTGGGGAGGGGGTGAAGAGGACCCTACCCCCATGAACCCCATCCTCACGTGTCAGACATGCAACTAAAGGAGGGCTTTGTGCCCCAGAGCCCGGCTCCGGCCCTTCTGGCCTTGGTTTCCCTTCTGCCATGCAGGGAGTTAGACCTCAGGACTGGCCGCGTTGGGGTCCTTATGACATCGCAGCAGCAGGAACACAGAAGTCACGCCCGCCCCGTGATACCACACGTGGGCTGTGCAGCACAGCGGCTGTGGCCCAGGAAGCTCTGCAGGCTGCAGCGCAGTGGACGCTGGTTCCCGCTGAGCCCTCCCTGGGTACCATGGGCACAGGAGAATGCTGGGCACCTTCGTGCCTTCTAAAGACACAGCGCCTCTCCTCCCTGGAGGGCGCAGGCTGGCCACATGTGCCCCTACGGCAGGGTCTGTCCAGCGTGGGAGGAGCTTCAGCTGCACGCAGTGCTGCAGAGGGGCTTCAGCCAGGGCTGAGCCAGGACAACGGTCAGAGGCCTGAAGTTCGGCTGTCTGGCCTGGGGGTGGCGGCATGAGGCAGGCCTGTGCCCTGTGGGCTGGCAGGTGCCCATTGTCTGTCTTGCTGTGCTCTTCGCACTAGAAGGCCACGCGTGGCATCCGAAACCTCAGACTCAGTGAGCGTGGGTGGACCTGGGCCTGTGGCTGCCTGTTTCCTTGCCTGGTGGGCACGAGCTCTGCTGGCCTGCTCAGGGAGGTCTTCAGGGATGAGGCAGGAAGGTGGTGTCCCAGCGTTGCCTGTGTTGATGACCACGTGGGATGGAACATGGGCTCAGCCCAGACTGTCCCTGGTCAGGCTGCTGGAGGCTCAGCAGCCACCAGCTTCCCACTGGTGGTGGCTCGTGGTGCAGCTTCCACCCCGGCTGGGCCGGGGACCCTGAGGGACACATGGTGCAGGGAGTACCCAGCGCCCCGTAGAGTTTCCAGAAATGTCGAGCCTACAGCAGCTGAGGACGCAGGCACGTCAGCTGGGGGGACATTCTCCACGGCCACTCCGTAGGCCCAGAACCTGGGGCAGAGGACCTGAAATCCTGGGAGGGGTCCTGAATGTCATCGGGACCCTCGGTGGGCTCCGTGTGGATGGAGCCCTGAATGCTACTGTCACGGCAGTGCCGAGGTTCTTGGGTGCCATTGAGATCATCCTGACTCTGGGGACAGAGGGTGACATCCAGCTGTGGAGTGCCCTGCAGCCAGACACTGAGCTGGAGCCTGTGCAGGAGAAACATGCAGGGAGCTGCAGAATAGTAGGTCAGAGTTCAGTAAGCCCCCCGTGGGTAGCATCCAGCAGAAGAGACTCTCAGAGTTATCCCGTCCTAAAGCCCTGGGGCAGAAGGCCCATGGGCCTGGACAGCCAGGGAGCAGGGAATGAGTGGTCTTCCTGGTGAGAAGGGCCTGAGCTGATATCCTGTTAAACTTGAGTTTAAAAATGTGAAAGTCAGTTTAAAATCGGGGAGAGCATTGTCTGGAAGTTGCTCTATAGGGGCACCTGAGCACACCCTCCTGGGGGTGGAGTTCAAACCCTTCCCCATGCTCTTCTGCTCCGCCATCCAGAGGAGCTGGGAGACAGACGGGCAGGTGAGGGCTGAGAGGGGCAGAGGTGTTCTGTGCGGAGGCAGCTGCAGGTGGTGTGTTTATCAAGGTCGGAGCCGCTGAGGCCAGAGGTGGGACAGGGCACTCAGAGGGTCTGACAGCTACAACAGACCCCCTGGCAGGGGCACGGTGTGGCGATGGGTGAGGCGGTCATCCAGCAGGTATCTTAGGATAGCCAGGTGGAGGTGCTCCTGAGAGCAGCCGGCTGAAGTTAGCAAGTGAACAGAAGAAGATGTCCCCCAGCTCGGGGTCTGGCCACAGCACATGGTGAAGTCATCACCTGAGCATCGGGGGGAGAGGTGGCCGGGGGCCTGGCAGACAGGTGGCAGGACACTATCTCAGCTTGGGGTGGATCAGTTGGGGTGGCCTTGCTGCCATAACTAGGCCCCGGGGCTGAAGTCAGCTGGGCAGCCAGCTGGGCCCGTCTGTCCTCGGCAAGGTTCCCACGAGCCTTGGAGACTGCGACCTTGAAGTTGGACTCCAGGCACCGAGTGGGGTGTGGCACTTGGGCTGTGAGAGCAGGGACAGAGAGGGTGGCAGGGGCTCAGGCGGTCCTTCAGGGCCACATACATGGGGGCAGCCTCCACACAGCAGGGCTGGGGAACTCCTGTGACAGCCCTGTCCCCTCAGACACTGGGATGCAAATGGGCGTGATCTCCAGGCTGGATGCAGCCCTAGGGCCCCCAGCAGGTGGGGCATGGTGGTGGCCCTGGGAGGGCCACCCAGGGACTGCAGGTGAGGCCTGCACCACCCTGACGGCCAGGCCAGGACCCCCTGAGCCTTTGCAAAACAAGAACAATTGGTCTGTCGGGAGCCTGTTTGGTGTTGCTAGCTTGGAGACCAAAGCGGACAGCATAGCCCATGGTCTCACCGTGGTGGCTCTTGGCGCCTGGGCTTGTCAGAACTCACCACACTGCACCTCACGCAGTGAGTGTGATGTGTGTGTGAGCCACACCTCGAGGTGCTGGCTCCACATCAGGCTGCTGGGGCGCTATTGAGGGCAGACACCAGCTCAGCCTTGAAGCAGGGCAGAGAACCTTATTCTCTGGCAGGCCAAAGGGCAGCAACCAAGTGGCCTCTGCGCCCTTCAGCCCCCAGCAGGAGCTACAACACATCTATTATAGCCCAGACCACCACAAAACCACAGGCAGAGGAGGAAGTGGGTCGGAATAACCCAGTTCTAACCCAGGTTAGGGGACACTGCACAAGAATAAAAGCCTCTGCGCATGGCCACACAGGTGTGCTTAGCAGGAGGGGGGTTATGGAGGCGGGGTTCTCACGCGGAGTCTAGGGTAAGACGAGTCGTCTGCTCAAGGCATGTATAGCTTGGCCCACCGCCAGGCTCTTGAACCTTCCCTGGAGATGGAACCGCAGGAGTGGTGTGGAGCCTGCTCCAGGGCACCAGGGCAGCTGTGCCAGGGAACCAGCTGGCTTTAGGACCTGCTTATTCTGGCCCAAGTGCAACAGCCCAGCCCCTGGGGCTTTGGGGCCAGAGAGCCCGTCAGGCTCCATGATGGCTGCACAGCTGCCCTGGCCTGCCAGTTGTGCTCCAGACTGCCCAAGGGACCCCTGTCCTCAGGGGGTGGCTGCTGGACCTCAGGCTGTGCCCATGGACTCTCAGACCTCATGGCCTAAACTGGGCCCTGGCTCACCTGCCAGGCTCCTGTGTGACTCTGCGTCAGGCACCCAACCTTTCTGTGTTTCAGTTCACTGACAGTCAGGTAAAGGCAGAACAGTGTCCACCGTCTGGTGCTGACCGCTTCCTGTCCTTGCAGGACTGCTGTGCTCAGCGAAGGAGCCTGCGCCCGCCCCTGAGCAGCGACCATGGGCCTGCTCGCCTACCTGAAGACCCAGTTTGTGCTGCACCTGCTCATCGGGTTTGTCTTCGTGGTGAGCGGCCTGGTCATCAACTTCACCCAGCTGTGCACGCTGGCGCTCTGGCCCATCAACAAGCAGCTGTACCGCCGCCTGAACTGCCGCCTGGCCTACTCACTCTGGAGCCGTGAGTGTCCGCCCGCCCTCTCCTCTAGGGGTCCGCGCAGCCTTTGGCCCCTCTGCCCCTCCCTGAGGCTGGGCCTGAGGAGCAGAGCAGGTGTGGCCTGAGCCCTCTCCAGTGGAGGGACTGAGGGCTGCTCCGTGCTGTCCGAGTCACTCCTGGCAGCGGATCTCAGTGCAAGCCTTAGCTGGGCTGAACCATATTGTGTCCACCCGTGGGAACATCGGGACCCCGAGAGGCCGATCCACCTGGTTTAGTGCTGGGGATGTCTTCAAAGAAAAGTGAAGACAGCCGTCAGCTCAGCCTCCCAGCCCAGCTCCCAACACGCAGCTGGTCTGGCTGCCCGGTACCAGAGCCTGGCGGAGCAGACCTCAGGCACGCCACGCTCCTGAGCGTACTGCAGTGTGCGTCACCAAGAGAAAAGGACGGGACTGCCCTTAAATAATGTGTGTGGGGGGTGTCCGTCTCTCCATCTGCACGTGCTAGCGCACATGTGTGCACCTGTGCACAGACCCCCCACCCCACCCCATCCCCGCCATCTGCAGGATGGCAGAGAGCTGCTCGCGCCAGCCCAGGGGCGCACGGGCAGGCACGTCCTCACAGGGAACATGGCAGTGCTGTTGGCAGCTCTGGTGGTTTGGTTTTGGGTCCAGTTACTCCACGGAATAGCCACACAGGCTAGAGATCTGCAGGAGCACCTGTGCGGACAGGTGCCCTCATGGTACCACATTCATTTTGGTGCAAAGCTGGCAGTAAGCCTGGTGCCCTTGGTGGGGACTGCACGTGGCTGTCCCCCCAGTGGGAGCCCCCATGGACACCAGGAGCACCTCTGCTGGTAGCAGCTGTCTGCCAAACACTAAGTGAAAGCAAGGTTCACCACAAAGTTCAGGTGTGCTGTCGTTTGTGTTTTGTGGTTTTTTAAGACATCGTGCGTGGGTGTGCATGTGAGTGTGGCAGGGTGTGTGACATGCCGCCAGAGAGGTGTTCAGGGAGGCACAGGAGGGGTTTCTCATCTCCCTTGCACGGCCTGCTCCTCAGGTGTCTGGGCATGTGTGTCTGAGTGTGCGCAGGGGGAACGCGTCCCCTGGCCATGCCTCAACCCCCACCCTGCTCAGGAGCCACAGTGGCTCCCTGATCCACTGCCTCAGATGCCCAGCCTCACCCTCCCTTCAAGATAAGAGACCGCGGCTCCTCTGTGGGAAGGGAGAATTAGGAACCTGCTGTCCAGCACCTGTGAATGAGTGTGAGTAGGCTTGGTAGAAACGCACACAGAAGGGGCAGCATTAGTGAGGACTGAATCAGACTCCCATTTCCAATAGCGTTCAGAAGCAAAACATAAAACAACCCAATCTTTAAGGAAAGGAAACCTCTCAGCAAAAACGGAGAGAGTCAGGTTAAAGTAGGGTGCTCATATTCAGGCCCCGACCGCAGGCAGCCACCATGGAGGGGAGCCCACACCACCTGGGGGCATGCACAGAGGGTCGCCAGCGCTGGACTCCGCAGAGTGGGCGGTGCGGGCTCTGCAGGCTGGAGAGCATGCAGTTCACACCCATGGTCAAGGGCAGACCCCAACTGCAGACTTGAAACTACCAAGACCAAATTGAGAAGGAACCAAGAAGAACTTAGATAAATGAAAATCGTAGACTAGACTTTAAAAGTGAAAACTTGATGGGTTGATTTGACATTGCGTTAGTCCCACAGAACAGCAATGTACCGTCCAGACACAGCAGAGGAGCCGGAGATGGGAAGTAGGGAAGGACACTAAAAGAGATGGCATGAATGTCCTTGTCACGGGGTTCGGGTTCCCATCCCAAGGAGGGGGGCAGGTTGGAGCACATAGGAAGAGGTGGTGGCTGAGAATTTCCCCACGCTGACGAGAAGACGGTTCTGCAGGTGCAGGAAGCAAACGCGTACAGACCTTGCAGGAAAAACCACAAATGTGCACCTGGGCACATCGGGGCAAAATCACCAGCCTGAGATAGAGGGGCCTTCAGTGTGCCGGGAGGAATGTGGGAGACCCGTCAGGGCAGGCAGGGCCTCACAGCACTGCAGGAAGAGGGCCCGACGTCCTCCGTCTGCAGAGGCCAGACTCCAAACCTCAGCTCCAAACCTCTCATCTGTGAAACAGACCCGATCCCACTCCGCTGTGTGGTGGAGTTAAAGGAACACACAGAGCAGCTGTCCTGCAGTGGTCAGGGAACCCCTACTGCTATCGGGCACAGAGACGGCTTGGTCGTTGTTCGAGGACAGCAGCCATTTGAATGAGGGGGACGTTAAGTCAGCTGACTGAATCTCTGTTGCCGGCTCTCAAACTGAAGGGAGGCCAGCTCTGCAGAACGCCCGCCCCAGACACCTGTACTCTCCCTTCACAAGAGCAAGCAGCAGCAGTGGCCTGAGAGCCACCAGCAGCTGAGGGGGTGAAGACAAGGCGCGGCGGGTGATGGGGTGCTGCTAGCATTACACAGGAAGGGAATTCCTGGGTGGGGGGCAGTGTGGGTGACCCTGAGGACGTGGTGTAGAGTGAAGTAAGCCGTCACTGGAGACAAATGCTGCGCACCTCAAGTGCCAGGAAGCAGGGTGTGCACCGAGAGGGGAGGGGCAGCAGCTGATCGGGGTGTGTGACAGGTCCCAGTGCCCGCTGTGCCTCCAATGGCCGTGCTGCACTAGACACTTGAACGTGCAGTAAGAGGGCAGATCTCATGTGGAGAGTTCCTGCTGCAATTAAAAGAAAAAGTCCCCGTCTAGCAGCATGCACCGTGAACAGCAGCCCCCAGCCCGTGTGGCCTGCGCTCCCAGGAGCCAGGCCCGGGGGGCCCTCCCCCAGTTAGGTCTGAGTGTGCTGGTGGGAAACAGCCAGAGCCACGCCACCAGGTCCTGTCCGTGTCCACCCCAGGTGGCCCTGCTGGAGAGGGGAAGCCGGTCAGCGGCGCCCTTCTCAGATGCGCAAACCAGACACCGCCTTGGCCACCTTTGTTTTCTTTTCAGACAGTTTTACTGAGTCAAAAGTCCCCACTTAGCGTGCCTGGCCCCATGGTGGGGCCCCACCAGGCTCCTGCCTGAGCATCTCTGCCCAGAACGAAACCTGGGGCCTTAAGGGTCATTCCTCAGCCCGCCCTGGCCCAGGCAGCCCTGAACTGCTTTCTGTCCCTGTGGTATGCCTGTCCGTGTCACAAGGTGGAATCACAGTAGGTGCAGCAGCCTCAGAACTCAACCCTTGCTGTGGCTGAGCTCCGCCCGTGTGCCCGGACAGCAGCGGGGGTGTGGGTGTCGGCCACGGGCTGCGCAGCCTGCGGCTTCCCAGGCACATGCCAGGTGGAGCTGCTGGCCTAGGTCGTGTGTGCTGGGGACCGTGGCTGCCGACCCACCCGGCTGCTTTCCAAGGCAGCTGCACGATTTGACGTCACACCATGAGTGCACGAGGGTCCCAGTCCCCACAGCCTCGCCTATGCTCGCTCTTGTCTTGGTGGCCGTGAGTGCTCTCTGGACTGTGTCCTGCTGGTTCTTGGCAGAGGAGTCGGCGGGGGCTCCCTCGGGAGCCATCAGTTATCATCCCGTGCCAGAAACACACGGCCGTCCTCTGCTAGTCCTGCACCTGGAAGCTGTCCTGGTCCTTTGAGGTCACCCTTCTCAGACAGCTGGCTGTGGGTCTGGCTCCAGCTGCCCTCCCATGTGCAGACGGGTGCCTGCCCCCCACCCCCTCCCGGGCTGCACAGATGCAGGGTCCTTACCACAGAATTCTCTAGACCCCGAGTTCTCTTGAGAGTGAATGTGTGCATCCCATGAGCCCTCCAGGAGGAGACACGGTGGATGCCACACGCCTGGGTTGTCCTGAAGCAGCCACCGTCCTGCAGGCTTTGTGCGGACGGTGGTGGACGACGTGGAGCTCTCAGTGAAGGTGACCGCCCAGGTTCCGGGGAGCCTGCTCCAGTGCTCCCGCCCAGAGCCCAGGAAAGAACCCGGCAAACTCCTGTTGCTCTTTGTTTCAAAAGTCAGAGACACAATGTAACAGGAGAGTGGACCCCAGAGAGAGCCTGGCAGGGGTTGCTTTTCCATGGTCCTGTGTGTGGGGCTGCGGCTGTCACCAGCTCTCGGGCTGGGCCCCACTTGGTCCTGGGTCCCGCCTCTGCGCTGCAGGCTGGTACGGTACCTGTGAGCAGCCGTGCAGCTGTGCCTGCCCGTCACCTTTCACCTTGAGAAAGCTGGGTTGGGAAACTTGTTAATATAAGTCCTCAAAACTTAGTTTGGGCAGAAAATCCTCCTCTAGTGAGAATACTGTGCCGCAGTCTGGCTGGGCACAAAATCACTCGGCTATGGCTCTTAGCAATACTGGCCCTGCAGGCACTCCCAGAGCATGCCAGAGACTGCGGGGGACATGGCTGCCTGCACCAGAGGTGGCCCTGCCCATGGTCAGGGCTGCACAGTGCCAACTCCCTCCTCTGCCCACAGAACTGGTCATGCTCCTGGAGTGGTGGTCCTGCACGGAGTGCACTCTGTTCACCGACCAGGCCACGGTGGACCACTTTGGGAAAGAGCACGTGGTCATCATCCTCAATCACAACTTTGAGATCGACTTCCTCTGTGGGTGGACCATGTGTGAACGCTTTGGTGTGCTGGGGGTGAGCAGGGGGCCCCAGGGAGGCCCTGGGAATGAGCAGCGGGTTCCCAGGGAGGTGTGGGGGGGTGAGCAGCGGGGTACCAGGGAGGTGGGGGGTGAGCAATAGCAAGGTGGGTGGGCTTTCCTTCCTTGGAGATTTTCAACCCGGATTCCTCGGAGCTAGGCAGTGAGTGGCCAATTCGCAGGGCCTGTCTGCAGGATGCCCTCCACAGTCCCCACCTGTTCCTGGAACTAGCTGTCAGCTCATTTCTCATGGTTACCTTCTCCTATTGGACGATGGCACCTGAGCTCACGGAATTGCTCTCACTAGCTGAGTGGCTGCAGACAAACGCAAACACCACTGAGGCAGGATGAGGGGGCTTCACTGTAGCAAAAGCCTGTGGCTGTCTCAGGAAGCCATGGCACATCTGTGCCTCCAGGTGACACTGATTCAAGTCACATACACTCGCAAGGTAGGGTCCCCATGAATAGCACATGCTTTGAATCAGGAAAGCCACAACTGCAGAGCAGGTCCCTGGGGCAGGATTGCAGCTGGCCTCATGCTGCCCTGCGGTCTGCCCCCCACCATGTACACCATGGCACCTCCCCCCCCCCCAGAGCTCCAAAGTCCTCGCCAAGAAGGAGCTGCTGTACGTGCCCCTCATTGGCTGGACGTGGTACTTCCTGGAGATCGTGTTCTGCAAGAGGAAGTGGGAGGAGGACCGGGACACGGTCATCGAGGGGCTGAGGCGCCTGGCTGACTACCCCGAGTACATGTGGGTGAGTGCCTGGTGGGCAGGGACTCCCGAGGGGCTGTCCTGGCTGGTGACAGCTGGCATTCGTCGCTTGCCCCTGTTCATTCCAGCAGCCCAGATCACGGTTGTCAGGCCCCAGGGGACCTCCTGCCTCTGGTGGTGCAGACCTGGGGGCTTCCCCAGGGAGGTGGGGTGTGGTTTCCGCCACCCCACCCACCACAAGACCCTCCCCAAGCCCGCAGGCCCCGCTCAGCCTGTGCCCTTGTCTTTTTCTACATCTTCCCTCTGGTCTGTTCTTGGAAGCCTGGCTCCTTATTTAGTACGTCTAATGCCCGTGCTGTCAGGGATGGACAGACCTTCTCCACCCTGCTCAGAGGCTGCTGCCCAGAGATGCTGTCAAGTTTCACTTCTTTCTGGAGACTTCCTTCAGGAAAGCTGGGCTGCATTCCATTGCAGCTGGAAGGCAGGGTGCAGCCCTAAAATAAAATTGCATTTCAAAGAACACCACGGCTTGTCACCAGAGTGGTTCTGTGTCTGATTCTACCAAGTCAGCAGCAAGTGCGTCGCTGTGGCTCAAGGCCGCCGGAGGCCTGGATCATGCTGAGCCTGACGCTTCCGGGCTTCTGTTCCAGCTGCATGCCCTGGCATAACCCTCTTGCCCCCATGTTCCATGCCCTAGTTCCTCCTGTACTGTGAAGGGACGCGCTTTACGGAGACCAAGCACCGCGTCAGCATGGAAGTGGCTGCCTCCAAGGGGCTGCCCCCCCTCAAGCACCACCTGCTGCCTCGGACCAAGGGCTTCACCACCGCGGTCCAGTGCCTGCGGGGCACAGGTAGGCGCCCCAGGGCCGGATGCAGAGCCTGCCCGACACGGCCCTCAGGTCCCTTGAGCAATAAGCAGGGACTTGTTCAAAACAAGCGTGTTTCCTGTAAACACAGGACACCAAAGCATAAAGGGGAGAATGGAGTAGGTGGGTTAGCGGTTGTTGGTCTGCAGGTCACTTTCTGAGGTGATGAGATGCTAGGTAGTGGGAAACAATTAAAATAATAAGAACTTTAATAATAAAATAATAAGAAAACGTATGTGGTGGCAGACTTCACGCAGGAGGACAGAGCAGCAATGTGTCTAGTTAGTCCGAAAGGCTGGAGGGAAAGGGAGACAGTAGGGACCCTGGAGCCAGGCGGGGATCTGAGCCCACAGCCACAGTGGGGAGCAGGCTGCATGCTCTGTGGGTAGAGCTGCCCAGTCGCTGTCCCTTGGGCAGCAGCACCACCCTGCAGAGTCCCTGTCCATCCGCTCACCAACCTGTTTCTCTTCCTCAGTTGCAGCTGTCTATGACGTGACCCTGAACTTCAGAGGAAACAAGAACCCGTCTCTGCTAGGGATCCTCTACGGGAAGAAGTACGAGGCGGACATGTGTGTGAGGTGAGCCGGCTCCCGCCCCTGCTCCTGCCAGGAGCCCAGGCTGCACAAGCCGCAGGGCACATCACAGTGTCAGAACTCTGCAACAGCCCTGTCCTACCTGGGCCGGAGGCCTTCCATAGGTCACGTCCAGGCCTGGGGGCTTCAGGCCATCCACTGGAGAACGTGGGACAAAGGGAGGAGTAGAGGGGCCTGTGCGTCCCCAGCTGTGTCTGCCCTGGGCCAGCACAAGGCTCCTCTCCTGCCCCTCCCTCCACCCCTGGAAGCCCAGGCGGGTCTCTAGGAGTAAAGCTCCCTGACCCCCCCTGGTGTGCTGCAGGTCTGGCCAGGGTCAGAGGTCTGGAGCCCCAGGTGCTGACCACTGACCTCCCGTGGAAGGGCGAGAGCCTGGTCTCCTCCCTGGTGGGCTATGGGGCCCCTGCAGAGCCTTCTGGTGGAGAGCACCTGGCCCCTGAAGACACCAGTCCAGGGAGGGCTTCAGCAGGGTCCAGGAAGGCAGGGCCTGTTCAGATGCCGTGTTGAGTGTTAGGGCTTCAGAACACTGTGCCCAGCCCTGTCCTGTGAGGCTCAGGAAGGGTGCTTCTTATCCCCATTCACAGAGCGCCCTGTGCCATCGCCACTCCTTGGTGGCCCCAGTCTCTCTGGCTCCTGAAGAGAAGGTGACCCACCCGAGCCCCGATTCGAGGCCTAGGTGTGTCTGAGTTAGCCACAGGTGTCGTCCCAGTGGGCCTCCTTATCTGTCTCTCCTCTGGGTGAGGGGGCAGGCGGGCCGGACGGTGCTCTGCCTCTTCTCCTTGGTGGCCCCTGGCCTTCCCCAGCCTGGCGCTCTCCTGGTTCCTGTTGGCTGTCCAGCCTTTTCTGATGGGTTCGTCCTGGTCCACCTGGGAGGTGGCACCTGCTGCCTTCATGTTAGCGAGTTTATAAAAAAATGCCAACAGCTCTTGTGTCCACACTGTGGGAAGTTCCCAGGGACAACTCGTGACCTGTACAACAGGCTCGATGACTTTCCTGGCAGTTGGCAGGCTAAGCAGAGGTTAGGGTCTCGTTGCACCCTGGGGGTGCACAAGGGGTGCGAGCCGGGCTCTCCTCCTTGTATTGCTAATCTCTGGCACAGGTATAGTAGTTCACCTGGGGCGCTGGTCAGTTCCCGTGGCCAGGTGCTCGTCAGCTTTGTGTCACTGTACAAGTACCTGAGGTCATCACCTTATAAAAAGGAAAGGCTCAGCTCGGCTGCACCTCAGTCTTCACCCACAACTGGTGGGCCGCTGTTCCAGCCTGTGGGGAGGCAGCGCCTCGTGGCAGGAGCCCGCGGCAGAGCAGAACCTCACCTCGTGGCCCCACGGCCCCCTGTGAGGCAGGGCCCCGTGACCAAGTTCCGCCCACAGCCCCCCGTGAGGTTCCCACCTCCCGACAGCCTCCCTGCAGTCCACACCTTGACAGCTGGGTCTTTGGGCGACACTCGAGACCCAAGCCCTAGCTCTAGGCTGGCGCCCAGACGAGGGTTGAGCCTTGGTGGCTCTGCCACCCTCGCAAGGAGCCTGGGGGATAAGAGGCAGAGACTGTCTGGGCAGCTGCCCAGGGCCAGAGCTGCTCAGTCGCCCCTCCAGGGCTCAGCCTGGAGAGGCCGCCTCGGTCTGCCCATTGCCCTTCGCGGGGTCTGTTCTGCCGTCCCACTTCAACAGCTGGGTCCTGAGAGCCCCGGGGCTCAGTGGGCTTGTCCTGGCCATGTCGTCCTTCAGAGCAGCTCCATCTAGCGGTCCAGCGTCCCCGCCATGCATGGCCCAGGTCTTCATGCCATGGCCTTCCGCCTCCCTCTCACCCCACAGGGGCTGAAGTCCGGGAGCTGTGGCCGGACCTGGCTGGTCATCGCAGTGACCCTGAGGGCCTCTGTTCTCTCTGCTTTCTGCTTTTCACTGTTAGTTTGAAGCTACGATACGGCTGATTTGGCCCCCGTTAAGTCCACTGAGCCTGGTTGGCTCTCAGGGCAGCTGACCTGCCCCACCTGCGGCTTCAGTGCTGCTCTTCCTTAGCCAGGTGAGCATGCAAAGCTACGGCGGAGTTGAGCAGAGGTACAGCTGCCCCCCTGCGAGTGACGCGGGTCATCTCCTCTGCTGCCCTTCTGTGTGCAAGGACTTGTGCGCCTTCCCAGACGGAGGGGGAGCCAGTCCTGGGGCAGAGGCTGTTGCACCTCCTGCCTGTGCCCTGGTGAGATAGGTGTGGCCCCTCCCACGGGCCACTGCTCCTCCTGCTGATGAACACAGAAGTACTGAACCGTCTTAATGGGATCTTAGTGACTTGTACTTTCTGTTTATTCAACGTCCAACTTACTTTCGACATAGGAGCTGTGGTATGTCACATATGGAAATTTCTCCAGTTATTGTCAGGCTTCACCTGCGTACCCCTCTTCCCCTGCAAACGGCCCCCAGGGCTGGCGACGCAGGAGTAGATTTGGATGCAGCAGGTCAAGACTTCATCTGAAGCAGCTGTTGGGAGGCTAGTTTAAAGCTGCTCCGTTTTTTCCTTTCCACATTTGAAGCAAGTAGGTTCCCCTTGTGAAGAAGTGACCTTCTTTCCCTAATGAAAGATGTTTTCACTCAAAGAACGAGCACGTTACTGGGCACAGTGGCGCATGCCTGCAATCCCAGCAGCTCGGGAAGCTGAGGCAGGAGGATTGAAAGTTCAAAGTTAGCCTCAGCAACTTACCAAGACCTTAACAACTCAGTGAGACTCTGTCTCTAAATAGAACATAGAAAAGGTCTGGGGACATGGCTTAGTGCACCTGGGTTCAATTCCCAGTACCAAAAAAAGGCGGGGAATGGGGGGGCTTGTTGGAAGACCCAGCCTCCCAGGTTAATGTGAGGTGGCCTTCACAGGGGACGGGCTCATGCTCTGTGGTTGGGTCACTTGTGGTTGTCCCCAAGCCTAGAGGCATCCCTCGGCCTCTCTGGGTGCCCAGCAGAGTCAAGACTGCAGTGGACTTACAGTGTGTGCCTAACAACCGGCGTCCCCTGTCACTCACTCTGCTCTTGGTCCCAATGAAACAGGAGGTTCCCGGTGGAGGAGATCCCTCAGGATGAGAAGGGGGCAGCGCAGTGGCTCCACAGGCTGTACCAGGAGAAGGTAAGGACATCCGCTCCCCTGGGCCCCATCTCCTGGGCAGGTGTCGGGCTGGCGAGGAAGGGCAGCCAGCGGCACAGAGCACACGCTCCTCACGGGCTTCTGGTCCTCCTCTTTTTTCTTCCCTTTTCCTCAACTTCTGAGATGTTAACCAGAGGAAAAGGAGAAGGACGACATCACGCGCACGTAAGCATGCTGAGACTGTCTCATCACACCTGTTCTTTGTACGTAAAACAAATTCTAGGTACGGAACAGAGACACTCAAGTCCTGGATGAGATACAGACAATGCTTGAAGGCTCTTATGGGAACCACCCATGTCCTGTTCCCATCCCCCACAGCGCCTCCCCCATACCCGCTTCCCATGCACTTTGAGCACACAGTACCTGGGATGTTGGGTCTCCATTCTCAATGTGCTCGGTAGTCACTAGAGAAATTCCTGGAGCCTTTGAAAAACAGCATCTTAAATGCCCTGATAGGTTCTTAAGAAAGTAAGGGAAATCTCTGGGGACCCAAAAGGGACACATAACTGAACACCAGGGTGACCAGCCCACACACCATGTTACAACCTGGCTGCAGCATCTCCTCTGACTTCCGTGCCCTCAGCCTGGGCGTGGGACTTGTGCCAACAGGCAGCTCTGGAAGCATAAAAAGTGATTCCAAGAGAATCCCCTGAAGTTTCTGAGAGAAAGTTGCACTGGAGGAGCACGACCCAAGCCACGCTGTCTAGCTTCGCACGGAGGAGACTCCGCAGAGATGAGCTCCTCACTCCAGTCCAGGCACTGGGGGAGCCAGACCTCCTCCAGCCCAGCAGGCTGGAAAGCCACAACCTCGACAGAGACTGATGGGCGAGCAGGGAGCAGCCCACCCAGGAGGAGGGTGTTCAAAATGAGAAGCACAAGAAAGAAGGGAAGGGGGAGGACGGGACCTGGGAAAGGAGGGGAAGGGCCATGGGAAGGCCTGAGAGCAAGCAGAGGAACGGCAAGCGGCCAGAGAGGGCAGCCACAGGACGGGCGTGGGCCGTGCCCAGGCTCCCCATGCCGAGCACGCACATGTGCACACATTTACATGTTCGTTATGTGCAGATGCACGATAGAGCAAACCCAGAGAAATGACAAAAATGATGGCAGGAATTATTTAAACAGAAACTAAAGCTACAGAAAAGCCAGTGAGATACACCAAAAGCATTTTCCGTAGGAATATTAATGAAGTAGCAAACCTTAGGCAAGAGCAGTTAATGAGATTGTGGACTGAACAGGAATGTAAAAGGAGAGCAGGGAGGAGTGAGGTGGACTCTGTGCCGTGTGCTTGGGAACTTGGAGAGAGCACATCATTTCTGTCAACCTCTCTTTATGATAAAAATGCTCCTCAACACAGTTAAGGCCAAATATGATAGCTACAGTGAGCATCATCCTGAATGGGTGGAGACCGGAAGTCCACAGTTTGCCCTAAGGCCTGGGACGAGGCAAGAAGGCCCACCCTCACCGCCCTACCCAGCTTGGCCCGAGCACTTAGTCAGGAGAAGGAAAGAAGGGCCACCACAGTGGAGAGGAGGGAGCCTACCCCATTTGCAGATGGTGTGATCTTATGAAGAGAAAAGCCTAAAGACACTATCAAAACCGTTAAGATTGATAAAATCAGTAAAGGTACGGGATACAAGATCAACGTACAGAAATCAGTATTGCTTCTATGCACCAAAAACGAACTAACTGAAAAAGAAATCCCAAGAGCAGCCCAGTTTACAACAAATAAAGCCTAGGAATACACTTAACCAAGGAGGTGAAGAATCACTACGATGAAAACTGTAGAACATTTATGAAAGAAATTAGAGACGTACACCAAAAACTAGAGACGTTCAATGTTCATGGGCTGGAGAATCAAGGTTCCTGTGGGGCCACAGCCCAAGCCAGCAAGATCAAGGTGGGGGCTGCAATGCCTTACTGACTTCAAAGCACCCTTCAGAGTCCCAGGGACCCAGACAGCATGGTCCAGGAATCTCACGGGCCCTAGGCCAGCAGAACAGGACAGGGAGCCCAGGAATAAGTCCCCGTGTTTTAGCGCCCTCACCGCAGGCCTCCCCTCAGAACTTACATTGGAGCAAGGACGTTCTCGCCAATGAGTGGTCATGGCAAAGCGTTCTCCTCATATGGAAGACTAAAAGCAGACCCCTGTCACCACACACCAACTCAGAGCAGGTTGAAGGCCTCAGTGTGAGCCTCGAAACTGAAACTGCTACAGGAAAATACAGGGAATGTGACCTGAGCGTGTCCGTGGTTTGGACATAAGCCCAGAAGCCCAGGCACCAAAGGCAAAGTTTGACAATGGGATTCCATTCAACTAAAAAGTTTCTGGACAGCAGAGGAAACAGTCAGCAGAGTGAAGACATAACCCAGAGGGTGGGAGAAAATGTATTCCAGCTATTACCTGAGAAGGATCAATAATCCACAATACTGTCATTCAAGCAGTTGAGTACTAGGAAGAGAATCCACTTTAAAAATGGGCAAATGATCTGAAAGGATGTGTTTCAAGAGAAGGTCTGCAAACGACCAACAGTACATGAAAACATGCTCAGCATCACTAATGACCGGGAAGCGCAGATCAAACCACAGTGGCATCTCGCTCTAGTTAGGACAGCTTTTGTCAACAAGACTGAAGACAAGCCTGTTGTTGAGGATGTGGAGAGGGGACGCTCATACACTGTTGGTGGCAACATAAATGGTACAGTTGTTATGGAGAACAGTACGAAGAGTCCTCGGAAAACTAGGCATAGGGTGGTGGGCAGCTCAGTTGCAGGGGCATCCTAGAACACATGAGGCCCAGGTTCCACGGCCAGCCCACGAGGCAGGGAGGAAGGGGGGGACTTGAAATGGCACCACGCAGCCTCACACCCACCCCTGGGAAAGGGAGACACCTGCACCCCTGGTCTATCACAGTGCTCATCAAGTAGCCAAGATGTGGGGTGGACCTAGGTGTTCCTCAGTGGATGTACCCAATATGACACTACTCACCCTAAAAACTGTTACAACCCTCATTTGAGTAACAGAGATGGAACTTGAGGACAGGGTGTTGGTTGAAAAAAGTCAGGCATAGTAGGACAAATACCAAGTGTTCTCACTCAGATGTGAGCTCAAACAGAAAGCTCAGAGGTAGAGAGTTCTGAGATGCTAGGGAGGCAGGGGATAAGGAGGGTGGAGAGAGGATGCGCGCAGATGGATAAGAGACACCCTACCACCAGCACAGCAGTGATTAATTATGTGTTTCACAGTCAATAGTAGAAAGGGTTTTGACTATTCCCACCATGAAGAAATGCTAAGTGTTTGAGTGACGGATGGGCATTTCCTGAGCTGGCCATCACACACTGCAGGCATGTACTGAGACCTCACTCTGCGGCCCATAACCATGTGCACTCATCACGTGTCCTCCAAAATGTGAGGACCAAGTGTGGGCCCCTAAAGCAGCGTGATTCTCACAAGAAGAAAAGACAAATGGAAACAGTGTGTCCTGCATCCTGTAGCTGCACGGCTGTGTCTGTCTGGTTACACCAAGTGCTAAGAAAAGTGCCTCTGGTCTCAGGTCACAATTTGAAATTCTGGAACTCCTAAGTGGAGTGACGCTTGCCAGCAGCAGTACTGGTCAGCAGGAAATTAGAAACAGCCCAGAAGTTCATTATCAGGAACAGTCACGTCGTGTTCGTCTGTCCGTTTGATGTGACATGATAGTTAAAATGAGTGAACTACATGTGCTGTCAGCACAGCTGGGTCTTGGGAATGTGCCTGTGGGAAAGCAGGCTGCGGGATGCTCGCAGCGTGTCCAGCTCCCAGGACGCTGTGGAACCTGCAGGCAGTGCCGGGCACCTCTGTTCATGCACACAGTGCATGGCGACGCGGGTGAGCCGGGCGCAGCCCTGTCCTCCCCCTCTGGCATCTGTTGTCTAGAATAAGCTGAGGCCAGTGCAAGTAGGAATTTCGACAAGGGACCCGGGCTTGGGTTTCACGTCACCTGCAGTTTTCCCAGAAGTTGTGATGCACAGTGACAGCACCTCAGTTCACTCTCAAGTCCTTGTTTTGAGGTTTGCATCAAGGACAGTGCACCACAGAGGACACAGTATCCGTGGCAGTCTTTTGTTTCTTTCTTCTTGGTCGCTGCTGTTTCTGAGGTCCATCCTGACTGACAGACTCGGCTCCTGCCTGTAGGAGCCGGGAGGCTCCACGTGCAGCAGTGTCCATTCGAGTGGCTCCTTTTCCTGTCTGTGAATGTTGAGGCCATTTGTACTCTAACAAGAACAGTGCCAGGCGGATATGTGTGTCCAGCACAGCTGCTCCTGGCCATGCAGGGCCTCCACGAGCGGCGGGAATGGGCACAACTGCAAGCCCGTGTTTGTTTCCCCGCCCCCCATTTTCTATACCACAAAATGCAACAGAATAAAATCGAATGCGAATTGAAAACAAAACTGAAAATGAAAAGGAAATAAAGTGTATGGCGTCACACTCCCCAGGCAATTACTGACATGCGCTACATCTCTCTAAATCCAGGACTACACACGCTCATAGTCATGCGTATTCTATAATTTCGAGGGCATCGTCTGGCACTTTAACCTCTTCTGTCAAAATACTAACACTGCCACACGTGTGTCCCCTTCTGGATGTGGAGCTACCTGGCGGTGTGTGCTGGCGGCAGGGACCTGTTGTGGCAGACCTGCAGCTTGTCCCCCAGCCGAGCTCTGGGTACAGTGAGCCCCCGATGTCACTGTGGAGAGAGCCTGGACAGTGTTGTTGGTGGAGCAGCTGTGGCCAGCTGCACCTGCATGCCACCAGCTCCTACCGCCTCCACCCTTTCCATTAGCAGAGGACACCTCTCTGCTAACCAGGGCCTTTCAGGGGCAGGCACCCCATGGTGATAGTGCAAGACGTTCCAGGTCCAGGACCCCAGCAGGTCCCGACAGCTGCCACACCTCTCCCTTGGAGCGGCGGCCCTGCAGGGCGTGCCCCATCCCAGCCAGCCCCCTGCTGGTCGTCCTGTGGGGCAGCCTCTCTGGCTTGGCAGGCTGCTTCCTGGCAGCTTCCCGGTCAGAGGGCTGCGTGGTTTCTAGGACCACCGTGGTGCCATCGCTCGGCAGGACACCAGAGTCAGCTCTCGCTGTGGACAGTCCTCCTGCCTGAGCGCAGCGCGGGGCGAGCCTGACCCCGTTCTCTCCCTGCCTCCAGGATGCGCTGCAGGAGATGTACAAGCAGAAGGGCGTGTTTCCCGGGGAGCAGATCCGGCCTGCCCGGCGGCCGTGGACCCTGCTGAACTTCCTGTGCTGGGCCACCGTCCTCCTGTCCCCGCTCCTCAGCTTCGCCTTGGGCGTCTTTGCCAGTGGATCCCCTCTCCTGATCCTGACCTTCCTGGGGTTTGTGGGAGCAGGTAATGAGCACTAGGGTAACAGCCCACCGTGTGGGAGTGTCCCCGCCTGCCGGCTTCGGTGCCCAGGACTGGACGACTCATCCTGGTGGCCCTGTGGGGCTGTGGCTCTCGCCCCGAAGCTGCAGGGTCAAGGAGGTCACGGGGCCATGTCCTCGGCCCACCGCTGCCGTACTTGCACTGAAACTGTCTGGTGAGGACACCGTTGAGATGTCCCCAGTCACTGTGTCTGCATTCAGGCCCCTGGGGGGTGGCTGGGCTGGTGGCCTGAAGGTCCACACAGGACATTCTCATTACTCAGCCACCTCTTGAGCTTTAGTGATCCTCCTGGTGTGCCTGTCCTGATTACATCGCCAGGTGCCTGCTGGACTTGGCCTGGCTGGCAAATGGACACCCACTGTGCATGTGCCCCTGTGGACTGTCCCTGCAAATGGATGGGCTTCTGTGGAGGGACAGTGTCCACCTGCAGGGCCCCTCCGCTGCCAGGCCCACTTCCCTAGACGGGCTCCTGGCGTGCCCTGCTTCTCCTTCAGGACAGTGGGGGGGTCCTGAGAGGTGACTGGCCTCTGCCATGGGACAGCACATTCACTTGGGACCACCCTCAGGGGACAGGGGATGTGGCTGGTTTCATCTGAGCATCCTGCTTGTCCATCTCACCTGCTGGGGTTTTGTAAGGCCAGTCTGTTCCCGCCTCTTAGGCCCTGCTCAGAGCAGCCAAGGCTCGTACACGGGCAGGCTGGGCACCACGCAAGGGCAGGCCGGCACCATGCAAGGGCAGGCCGGGCACCACGCAGGGGCAGGCCGGGCACCACGCAAGGGCAGGCTGGCACCACGTAGGTCGGCTGCCTCTGCCCCTGTGGGAGAAATGCCTCAGCTCTCGCCTGTGGCAGTGCAGCCCAGACCCTGCCTGCCCCCGGTGGCAGCCCAGCTCCGAGCTCACAGAGAAGCCCAAGCCCCCTCCAGTGGCCTCCCTGGATGGGGCAGGAGAGAGGGCAGAGGAGGGAGCCCAAGCCTCGCGGCTCAGTGCAGAGCTCAGCCTGACCTCTTCTTTCTCTCTCCTGTTTTTCAAGCTTCCTTTGGAGTCCGCAGACTGATAGGAGTGACTGAAATAGAGAAAGGCTCCAGCTACGGAAACCAAGAGTTTAAGAAAAAGGAATAATTAATGGCTGTGATTGAACGCACATAACCCGACGTGGTATCAAATTAACTCAATTAAAAACAGAACAACACACACAGATCGAGGGGAAAGAGACACTTAGAAACTATTTTTCTTATTAACTGGTGACTAATATTAACAAATAAAACTTGAGCCAAGAGCAAAGCACTCAGAAGGCCTGCGGTGAAGGCGTGCGCTCCCAGCTCCCACGTGCAGGACCCTCCCGAATCCCGGGCAGAAGCAGCTCCTCCCGGGAGCCCCTCAGGGCTGGCAGGATGGAGGAGGCCCCTGGTGTGCTCCTCAGACTCCACCTCCAAGAGGGGCCTGGGCTGCTCTCTTCTTAAACTTTGGTCGAGGTTTTGGTTTTTATCAGTCATCTCGGGAACCTACCCTGGCCCTCTTTTGCGCCCCCAGACACTGGCTCTTAAAGAACTTTCTGCTGTCCTCCCAGCGTGGGTTGATGGGCCCCAGCCCCCAGAGCTCACTCATCCCACTCGCTTTGCACCTTGGCTTCTGGGTGGTGGGAGGGCCCCAAAGAGAAAGTCCTTTCTGTGATAAGCACATACTGAATGTAAATCAGACTGATTCTGAGCAGGTCCCATGGTTGTCCTGCCTCCCCTGGGCCGGCTGTGTTCTCCAGCACCGTCTGCCCCTCCTCCTTAACCTGTGTGGAAATGCCTTCCAGCTCTTTTTAAAGTGAGTGGGCTCCTGACAGCTCCAGGGAATGCGGCATTCTCCTGTTCCCAGAGCTGTATTGTCCTGTCCCGTTCTTGTCTTCATGGCCACCAGGCTCTGCCCCCTGTACCGGGGCTGGGCTAGAGGGTCATGCAGGGCCCACAGATTAAGAGCCAGCCCTGTGGGGGCTTGGAAGGAGGCCGTCCTCTAAAGGCACGTGGCGACAGCTGATGCCCACCTGTGGGCTGACTTGATCTCACTAGCTGGCCTCTGGCTGGCCTTCCTGATGGAAACCAGGGTGGGGCCTCCCTCCCCTCCACGAGGGGCTACCCTGTGTCCCGGGGAGGGCCTGCCTCTGTCCAGGCAGATGTCATCTCACCAGGCCTGTGCCCACAGTGCCCCGCCCCCACCTTGGTGACATCCCTGAGTGTCCCCACAGGACAGGGTGTTCTCACCGAGGTCCCCTGGGCCCACCGGGAATGCTTCCTCCTGCAGCACAGGTAATGCACGCTGGGCTTGGTGAGGGCAGCTGCTGGGTGGACAGGAGTGTGTCAAGCCCCTCCTGGCTTCCAGTGAACCCAGGCCTCCTTGGCTACTGTCCACCCTGTCCACCACCTGCATTGGGCTTTTGTCTTGAACCTTGAACTGGCTCTTTTAAAGTCACACTCCCTTCATTTTTTTAGCAAGGGGGGGTGGGGGAACGGGTGTTCTCTCTGATACATTGTAACCAGCATTCTGAACACAGGCAGAAATGGAGGAAAGGCCTGGAGAAGAAACGGACTGAGTGAGAGTGACCATGCCTCGGCCCTCAGTGCTGGGGGAGATTGGGCGAGGTGGTGCCTCCTCTCTAGGGGACGCTTCTGAGCCATGTGGTCTGTGTGGAAGGCAGAGGGGAGCCCCCGTGGGCGTGTGCGGGCTGGTGAGTGACAGGGAGTGGCACGTTCCTTGTGAGGATGGCGGGCAAACCAAGCAAGACAAGAGGAGACACTGAACCTCTTCCCTCGGCCTCACCCGTCTCTCCCGGCCTCCTCCTCTGCACAGAGCCGGGTGCCCCTCTGGGTGGCCCCACCCTGAGGTTTCTTTTCTTCCCGTGCTGGCTGCTCCTCTCTCTGCCCCTGGTTAGGTCTGCATCTGTCACTAGTTCACTGACACCTAGGAAATCCCAAGGGAAAAAGGCCAAGGGCACTACATGCACGTCCATGCCCCAGGAATGCCAGTCTCCCGTTCTGCCATGAATCAATAGCTCTGGCTTCCCAGAGAGTCTCCCTCCCTTTGAAATCAATATGTAATGTAAATTCCGCCTTGAGTCCATGAGCGAGCCGTGAGGGATCCAGGCACAGGCTTACCTCTGCCGTGGAGAGGCTGATGACGGCAGCCCAGCGTGCACACCTAATGCGAGCCTTCTGAGAGCAATAAAAACTGCACCGTGAATGTTTGGGGGTTTGGGTATTGTTTTTTGAGGGTTCTGGATTTTGCTTTCCATTTGCTTCAGAAGGAAAGGGGAGGAGAGCCCCTTGATTTTAAATTAAACGAGTCTCTGCACGGTGCTTTTCTCTCTTCCTTCACGCTCTGCTTCTGAATCCAGTCGTTTCTGGTGTCATGTCCAAGTTCAGGCTGTGTTCGGGCAGAAGCAGTCCGACGGCCCCCAGACATTGTGCTGGTTGTGGTGGGGGGGAGCGCCCCAGGCCCCGAGTGGCTCATGTCCTCCGGGGCTACAGGTAGGGAGGTGCTGCCCGCTGCCCCCGTGGCTCATGGTGCTCCTTCAGGGCCCGGCACCTGGCCGGCTGAGCTGAGCCTGGGACGTGGTCTCATGGGCTGTCTGCTCAGGCCCCGGAGCAGGTGCCCTGGGGACTCCATCCTCAGCCTTCTGCTGCGGCCAGTGTGTGGAGCCGCCCCCACAAGCCAGCTCAGGCCGACTCTGATGCCGTGGGGAGCAGGGGGGAAGCGGCAGCTCTTTGGGCCTCTCTAGGGAGCTGTGTGGTGCCTGGCAGGTCACAGTGCCTTTGTGCAGCTGCCAGTGTCTAGGGACCTTGTGCTCTTCCCCAGGGGTTTTCTACTAGTGTCCTAACAGTGGTTGTCCCCAGGGCTCAGGGGGAGAAGCTGGGGACAGCTGAGTGGTCAGAAGGGAAGGCACTTCCTCCACGGGGACACTCTCTCCTCCCAGCAAAGGCCTTGAGGAGCTCTGAAAAGGCTTCTCACTGATAAGCCGCTAACCCAGAGAAGGGGGCCACACTGCTGCCTGTGCTTGGTGGTGGCTACCCAAGGCCCAGCCTGGTGAGGTGCTGTGAGGTCCCTGTCCTCAAGGAGCAGAGCTGGCTTGAGGAATTGAGCTCTGAATATATAAACCACTGAGCAACCCGACCAGCACCATAAAGCACTTTCTTATAAAAAACAATGCCGGTCATTACCACCGACCAGTTCTGAATCTGCCTGTCTGCCCCGTCCTCCCCTCTGCGCCGGCTGGAGAACCCCCCCTGGCCCTGGTCTGTTCGGGGTGTTGCTGAGCACTGACGCTGAAGAAAAGGCAGTGGCCGGACCCAGCTGTGTGTCACGCTCTTGTGTCATTTACGAGATGTCAGGAGGCCACCGTGCCCCTGGGGACTACCAGCTAAATCTGATTCCTGGAGATGAATGTGGCTCTTTCTGCATGTTGCTTTGTCTCTGCCTGAGACCTTATAGGACAGGCCAAGTGACACCCTCCTAGCCTTGCTGACTGTCTTCTGGATCGTGCCACCCAGGCATACCTGCTGCTGCAGACCCCTCCCCGCTGGCCGGCTGCATGCGGTCCCTGCATGCATCTCTCGTGCTGAGCGGTGTGGCGTGGCAGATTCTGACCCTTCTACAGTGTGACGAGGCTCGGGGTTAAGACGGGGAGTCTGATGCACCCGCCTACCTTCTTTCTGGAAACGGCGTGTCCCTGGTCCCCGGGCCTGCCCTTTTCTCTAGTGGGCTGGCTCCCAAGCCCAAGGCAAGCCACCCCAGAGCAGCTTGGGCCTGGGGGGTACACCACTGATCTGGGCTTTGGCTTTATCCCAGAACACTGCTGGGGACTGCCCAGTGGGTACTGACACATGGGCTCCAGACTCTGTTGTATCAGGGCCAGGGACAGATTTTGGGTAAAATGTCACCCTGCGATCTGCTTGCTGGAGAGGGGAGGGCGTGTATGAGTGAGGTTTGTTACAAGCATTTGCGGCTTCGGGGGAAATGGCAGCATTCTCGTCACCTGCTCCGAGAGCACTCTTGGGAGCCCAGGAGGTCACCGGAGAAGCTGACGTGAGTCCGCCTGGGCAGCAGCCACACGGGCTCTTCACAGATGACGGGTTGTTGCAAATCGCTTTGTGCTGACAAGGTCACCTGGAGCTCTCTTTTCTCCTTAATTTTTCAGATTAACTTTTTGTTGCAGAAGTGTTTAGACAGCAATTGAACTGTGAATGAGATACTGAAATGCACTAAATTGTATTAAATTAAACTGGAGTTACTTGATCCAATGAAGACATGCATCTGCTCTAGTTGTATTTATTGTCTCAGAATTGTATGTTGTGACAATCAAATGTTCCTTGCCTCCATGCCAGGAGACGCCACTGGCTTCTTAATCCTGAGGATTGCCAGCAAGCGCGGACTCCACACGAACATCTCTGGAAAGCCACGCAGACCGCGACTGCAGTGCCGCGTGGCAGACGTGGGGGTTCTTTTTCTATCCTTGAAAAATTGCCATGCCCGACGTCATCGCCACTTTCAAAGGGATACATTGTATACAGGGTGCAAATGTATTATAGGGTGTTTCCTTTTGTATACTTCATTTTTACAAGTTTTGCTACTCACGAGCTTTGTGTAGTCGAGGAGAGGTATTTTGGTGTGTGGAAACTTGTCGGTCGGGGTGGGGGTGACTTAGACTTCACAGGCCCGTGTCCCCAAGGACTGGCGGTGCTGTTCTGCAGGGCCGCATGGAAGGCTGCGTGAGCGGCACTCTGCTCTCGTGCGGTGGTATTTTCTGGATAAATGCTGCAGGCATCGTTCTTGTTTGTTAGAAATGCTGCTGTGAAGGAGAGAGAAAATGTCCACAATACAAGAGAAAGTGACTCTTGGCCTCCTTTCGTTTCTTTATTTCTGGTCTGCACAGATCTTTCTAGGGGGGAAGCAGAGGGCCACCGGGCGGTCCCTGTGCCCTGGCTCTGACCTGGGAGCCACACAGCTGAGGGCACTGCCCTGTCTCTCCCTGCTGCGCCGGTTGCTTTCTGGAAGGGAATCAAGGGTCACGTGGCAGAGAGCACCAGGATGCTCAGTGGCACGTGTGAGCTGAGAGACCCACCGTCCAGGCTGGGCTTTAAAGGCCATCAAGGATGAGGGGTTTTCCAGAGCAGGCGTTCAAATATTAAAAATTGATTTTTTGTAAAACCAAATTCTGTGGAGAAGACAAGGAAACCCCTTTTTCTTCTTTATTCAAAACCAAAATCTTATTTTAACTGAAAGCTACTCCAGGGTCTCATTTGTCCCCCCAAAATAACTCACACTGAAGGAATTGGGTGTCCTGCTCTTGGGAGCAGCCCCTTGATGGACAGGCTGCTCTGTCTGGGGCCTCCTTCCAGGTGGCCTTGGCAACAGCGACCTGCCCGCCTTGGGCTCCTGGGAGGCTGGGAAGCCAGGGCTCAGTCAGGATCTCTGGAGAGTCACACATGCACACACCGCACACCTACGCACTCGTGCCGTGTGACCCAGCACAGGTAAGGGCACACACATCCTCAGGGGTGTGGTCCTCCAAGTACAGCCCCACTAGGAACGGACTTTGGAGAGCGTCCTCACGAGCATGCCTCCTCCAGGGCCAGGACTCGAGCCCTGACGGCCAGGTCCCTGCAGCAGTGGGCGCCCGGGGAGACAGCTCACTGAGACCACGCTCCGGATGGCCTGAAGTCCTGGGAGGAGGCCGCTTTGCGGCAGAGACTGCTCCTCCTGCTCAAGGCCTGCTGCTGGCCGGGCCAGGACGGGCCAGGGAAGCTCGCTGTCAGACTTGTCCTGCCTGCGGTCAGTGGGCCACGTGGGTGCACCCACACCACCCAACTCCCATCCTGAGCCCCGGGAAGGGATGGGGAACGGTCAGTGCAGGCGCTAGAGGACCAGCTCAGTAGGGCTCCCGGTGTCTCTGCAGCCCTCCTCTGTGGGTGTTGGCCTCACAGCACCTGCCAGGATGGAGTCGCTCTGAAGCCTTAGAAGCTCAGGCATAGAAAGTACCAGAAAGATCTTTCCGTCAAAAATCTGTCATAGCTTCAATTGCCTGCAAAGCAGCCTGCTCTGCCTCTGCCCGACCTGTCTAGTGCTGGCCTCACCACTCCCCATTCCTCTGGACGGCCAGAGCCAGCAGCTGTATTTCCATGGGACAGGGTGGTGGCGTAGGGGGAAGGATTTGGATTCGGGGTCTGGAGGCCTCTGAATTATGATCCAAAACACACTCCTTATTGCCAGAATGGCCCAGCACTTGCCCTGTGTGCCCTTGAGTTTCCAATCTGTAAAAGAACTTTGAACAAAAGAAGTGAGTGGTCGCAGACCTGGCAATCTGCACACCCTGGAGCATTGGGCCTCACTAGAGACCTGGTGTCCTGCTCTGGACCCTTTGCCTGGGCAGCTGCCATGGCCAGGTGGAGTGACCCCATCAGAAGGGCTCCTTCCTACACAAGGGCACTGTCCTCCAGGGAGGAGAGGGCATCACTGTGGCTGTGGCGGGCTTCTGGACACTTCCCCGCGGACCTCACACAGCTCCTCTGCTCCAGTGTCCATTTTTCTGTCACTTTCAACCTCCTCTGTGTCATATTTTCCAAGCCCAGTGTGTCCTGACACTTCCTTAGGTCCCTGCCTCCGTCGTGTCCACTGTGATGTGCCGAGCTGCTGTGGTAGAGATGATTGCGCGGAGCACCGTGGCCAACAGCGTCCATCTCCACGAGAGAATGGCCTCAGGCACACAGGGAGGTGGGCGCCTGGCCAACCACACCATGACCTGACTGCCCAGAGCAACACATGGAGGCCGGGGATGGGGCCCCAGTCCCCCGCCCAGGCGGAGAACACCACACCCGAAGCAGCGTCCCACCGAGGAGCCTGTTTGCAGAGACCTGAGTCAGGAAGTCAGATCAGGCAGCAAAGGTGCACGGAGCTGGGGATGGTCTTTACAGAGCTCTCCGGGGAGATCCTGCCTCTGGTTGAAGGCAGCCCTCTGGGCACACTTGTCCCCAAGGTCCCCCAGGTTCTCATCACTTTCAGGACAAGAGGCTCCACACACTGTCTTAAAATGTGTCAGTTCATCCAAAAGACTCTCATGATGGCGATGGCTCAGTGGTCAAACCCACCTGCCAGGGCTTTGTAAGAAGCCTGACTCACAGGGCCAGCCCGAGGCCACTGCCCTATGAAAAGGGGGCAGTGGCTGCCTCCTCCAATGTCCTGCTCATCTCCCATCGCCAGGGCCAGCTGAAGGACAGGGTCGAGGACACCCTGTGGTTGTGGCCATTCGGGACACAGAGCCGGGAAGCAGGGTGGGAGGGGTGGAGGGTGGGGGACTGCAGGAAGGGGTCTTGGAAGGGGGGCAGGTGGGTTTCCAAGGGGAATGTTGCTGGAAGCTCCCAGGCGCTCATCTCTGTCCGGGTGCTGTTCTGCATGGCTCTGGAGGCCTGGGGAGCACGGGGAGGGGTGAAAAGGAAGAGCCACGAGGCCTTCAGAGAAGTGGAGGGCTCCAGGAAGAACCTGCCCCAGCAGCACACCAACCCGCGGGCAGAGTAGAGAAGGGGCGCGAACACTCACGTGCTCCCACCAGGGTTAGAAATGAAAACCTCCCAGAGGCTTGGGGGCCCGGAGTCCCTGCCCATTACCACTTGGTCCCCTGTCCCACAAGGGATGGGGTGTGTTAGGTCAGTGGTAGAGACTTGGTGGCAACTTGGAACAAAGCAGCCCGCGGGTGGGGGTGGGGGCATCAATCAGGCCCCGGCAGAAATGCCTGTCAATCAGCGAGGTCTCCTGACTAACGCCTGTCAATCAGCAGGACCCCCTGGCCAATCCTGGAATTCAGCCAACTCCCCTGACCAACTCCAACGGGACAAGGGACTCTAAGACACTTTTTCCTGTCCCAAGCCCTTCCCTTCCTGCTGTGAGTCCCGTAAAAGTCCAGTCGGGTCAAGCTCCCACGCGGTTTCTCCTCAGACCCTCCTCCTGTCCCCTCTGTGGGTCTGATCGAGTTCCGCCCGGGAGTGATGTCTCCCTGTTCAGCGGTCCTTTTAAATCTGCCTCCTTTGGTCGCTGCCCGCCTTGCCTGATCTGACAGAGTGAACCCAGGAAGTACCAGTGTTTTGGTTGATCCCCAAACCATAACAAAGGCAGGAGCGTCCCTGGCGGCGTCCTCAGGCCATGACAACCATCAACTCACCTCGCAGTGACATGAGTGGCAAGGCTGACCTTGAGCTGGTCAGCCTGGTGCCAGCGTCCACAACAAAGAGGGTGCTGCGCAGCTGCTGCAGCCTGCGGAGGCGCCCCACGGTTTTCAGAACGAGGGAATCCCATCAAGGGGTTGATCTTACTGTCTCAGTGTTGTTCAGAGCCAGGACTCAGTGGGTTGGTCCCCAAGTTCATCCTCACAGCTGTGTCACTACCGTCCATGCATTTCCTGTGGGACTGCAGCTTCCTGGTCAGCCACTGACCACCCCACACATACCTCTGAGAGTTCAAGGTGAGATACGGAGGTGCAGGCTGGGAAGGGGTGAGCCCTGCTCCCTGGACCCTCCCACTGTGGCTGGGCTTGCTCTCCAGTTGCTTGCTGCAGTCGGGTGGCTCTTTGTGCTGATTTTGGTTCTGGTGCTGGGGAGCAAGCCTGGGGGCGCTTCACCCCGAGCCACACTCTCAGTCCTTTCATTTTCAAACAGGGTCTCACTAAAGTGCTGAGAATCTTGCTAAGTTGTCCAGGTTGGCCTTGAACTGGCTCCTCAGCCTCAGCCTCCCGAGTGGCTGGGATCGCAGGTGTGTGTGACCACACCAACTTAGCTGACTTTTAAAGTCACCAACATTGGAGGTCAGGCAGCTGCAGTGTGTATCCCACCCAGTAGCGCTGCTGTAGATGACACCTCTGTCCCCAGTCATGTGGGCCGTGATGATAATGGCTGCCTAGGCTGCTTTTCAGGGACTTGAAGGCTGCTTTTGTTGATCACTCACTCTTGCCTTAGGACTGCCCAGGTGTCAGATGGCTGAACTTTGACATCAAGGGTCCAAAAGTCCACCCCCAGAGCAGGGTGACGCTGCCATTTTCTGCACATGTATTGTGCACAGACGCCAGTGACTTCACCTGCACTTGCCCTCCGGGCCCCACCGACTTCCCTGCCCCTTTGCCCCTCACCTGGGGAGCTGGACTCAGCCCTTCTCTTCCGTCTCTCATGCTGACTGCCCAGGGAGTGGGATTCTCTTTTGGAGGCTTGTCATCAGGGTGATTGTGCAGTGGGCAGAGTGGTGGTCAGATGTGACCTGCTGGTGTGGAAGGGGGTCTGTCTCAGCTCGAGGTGGCCAGCGAGCGAGCGTGCTGGACGCCGGGGCTTCCTCTCCTGAAATCTCCACAGCTTCCCTCCTTTCCTAGGGCGCGTTTACCTTTTTCTTATCGATTCACAGCATTCTGCCTATAATTGGGATGCACTGATCTTTCTGTCAATCTTATGGTTATAAAATTCCTCATTTCTGGCTTGCATTTTCCCTTTTTCGTATCTTGTGATGCACAGACTTCTTTCATTTTAATGAAAGTGACTTTAAGGATTTTTCTGTTATGTTTTTCATGTCCATATCTTGCTAGCAAATCCTTTCTTGCTTCCAGTCATAGAATCAGTCTCTTGCATTTCTCTTCTGAAAGTCGTCGTTCAGTGTTTTCGCCTCTGAATCAGAGGCACGGCACGTGGAGGTGTGTCCAGCTTTACCGCAGCGTTTCCTGCCTGAGAAGTACCTTGGCCAGGGCGCCTGATGGAGCAGCCCACCACCTCCTCCCCGTGCTGTGAGGAGCCCTCCCAGAGCACGTGTTGGGGGCTGACTGGGTCATCGTCCACTTGTCTGTCTGCACAAAATCACACTCTCCTGATGA